TTCCTTCCTTCCTTCCTTCCTTCCTTCCTTCCTTCCTTCCTTCCTTCCTTCCTTCCTTCCTTCCTTCCTTCCTTCCTTCCTTCCTTCCTTCCTTCCACTAATGGATCATATAAGCATAGCATATTCATGTGTGAATATAATCATTCATAAGCCTTAGTTTTGCAAGCCTTAGTATTTCTGCCAAATATTCTGTGGGTGAAGATGATCACATTTTGGATCTAAGGACTGATCTTGTGTCCTTCACTAGAGGAGCTGTCTGTAGGCTGCCCTCCAGTCACAAGATCTATTTGTTTAGGTGCCTATGATAGTGGCCCTTTATTTGTTCATTTACTAGGATTTATATGCTGCTCCAATAAAAAAAAATGACTCTAAGCACGATGCAATAATATAATACAATAATCAGATTAAAAAGTAGAATTAAGGCAACAGTCAACCTATTGCCAAAGGAAAATGAAAACACATAAGACAAAAACTAAAAAATAAAACCACAGTCACTCCTAATCCTCCACACTCCTTGGCATCACTTCTTCAGGAATCATTCATATATCCATACTACTGCCAAAGGCCCTTCATCAGAGACAGATCTTAATTGTTCCCTGAAACAAAAGTGAGAAAGAAGCTGCCCTTATCTCTAGGGGGTGGGAACGACGTACTAAAGAGAAGGCTCACTCTCAGAGTCCCTCGTGTCAGCACTCCCTAGGAGTTGGGATTCATAGCAAGACTTCCCTGCTTGATTTTTCTGGGATGGGCAGATTCCACCTGGGAAAGACAGTCCCTCAGATTCCCAGATCATGAGCCATCAAGTGCTTTAAGGTAATGGCTAGCACCTTGAATTGTGTTTCTCATGCACCTGTAAACCACCACAGCTCTGGAAGTAGTGGTATCACATGGGCAAACTAACTGGAGCCTGTTACTTCTCTTGTGCAGTTGAATATAATTTCCAGAACTAGTTTCCTAAATAGAAGAGATTATTTTGTAGACCTGTTTCCACCTCTATAGATGATGTTCCTGCGTCCTTTTTATGTTTGAGTGTATGCTCTTAAAATACAGAAACAGGTGTATTTATGTTTACTAAAAAGACATTTAAAGTGCTTCCTTTTGTAGGACCTTTATGAAGCCAAAAAACAAAAACAAAAAACCCTTATTATTTGCTATAGATTTCTTCTAAGAAAGTGGTCATATTAGAAAATGTTTGTATTGATTATTAGACTGTATTAGGAAATGTCTTCATATTGTTTTACTGTAATACTGGTTTATATTTTATATAATGTTTTATCTATCTGTGCTTAAGTATAATTATGTACTAAATATAAATACTACTACACTGCACAAAATTTAGTAAATGGCTCTGTCCAGACCAGCCCTACAATTCAAATGAGTGGATTGTTCCAGAATAAGAACTTTTCCACAAGTTAGAAAAGATAGCTCCAGTGTGCCTGTAATATTTCCAAACACAGAATAAATGCACTCCTGAATGTTTTGATTTTATGAGTCTGTGAACCTTTTGACAAGGCAATAAACCTTCTAGTGATCTATGAATTGTTTTCCTTGAAATTTTGTTTGTGAAGGAAATGTTCTAAAGATAGGCATTGTACCTAATATAAGGCATAAGGTCCCTTATGATCACCCAATAGTAATTTCTTAGGAGAATGATTTATTTGATAAATGTATGTCCTGTCTTTCCATCAGGAGTTTAAGGTGGCATAAACAGCACTCTGGTTTTTCCCCACAATAACCACCCTGCAAAATAGGTTGGAGTATGACTGTCCCAAAGTCACCCAGTGACTTTCATGGTTGAGGATGGTCTTGAATCTGGGATTTAACGGTCTTGATCCAATCCATCAACCACTACATCATACTGATGTAGGAAATGTGATTGTATTCCACCAACTATTCCTGCTTATTAAATTGATAGGAAAAACCTTAGTGCTGGTCTCAGTTTTATGTCTTTATAGGCTCCCTAGTACAGTCCTTTTATACCATTCAGGAAACTAGGCTGAATTTGAACTTGCTATGGGAGTCTGTTGGGGAGGGGGGAGGAGAATGTCATTCCCTATATCTGGATAGATGGTTTCTGTCAGATTCCTGAGTATCCAGTCTTTGTAGGGCATTACTTTTGTTAAGGGATTTCTGCAAGACAGAGGCAGACTGATTCCCTAAATCCAGCCAGCTGCCTCCTGCAGCATCTGACAGTCTAACACAATAACTAATAACTCCAACTTAAAGTTAACCATTGCACTTGAATTGTGTTTCTCATGCAGCTCAAGTCTGACATCATATAAATGTATTTTACACTGACTTACTGCTGTGTGCAGGGGGAAAAACCCTGAACACTCGCCTTTTAGGTTTTATTATCTTTTGAGCACAGTATTAAAAAATACTGTTACCTTGCTTTCCAGTTCTGAAGTTACTACAGAGGTTTTCATGAGACAGTAAATTTATTTTGACTGGTGTTAGAAGATTATGTTGGATTTATGTCTATAAGTATATAAAAATCAAATCTGACCAGTTATGATACTAAAAAGATTGTGTGAGGTATCCTTTCATTTAGGAAAAATCCAATAATACCCTCTTTTTGGCTCTCCTTTTACATTTCCTATTCCTGTTCATTTAGTTTCCTTCTTTTTAGTTTGTCATAAAAAAAAGTTGTAGCAGAAATATAACTTGACAAGGGATACATGCTTCCTAATTGAGTGGATTATGTAGGCTCAGTTCTAATGATTACAGTGAAATCCCAATTGGAAACTTTATAAAGTAATGTTATAATCTGAACCTGACTATTTTGTTAATTAAAGGTTAAGGTACTTCCCTACTACCACCATTTCTACTCCCACTCATTCTAAAGGACTTCAAAGCCAGTTTATGATCATATCCATTTCTGCTGACCTCAACACACAGAAAACATATGAGCCAGCCATTCTTTATCCTGTTTCCCTCCCCGCTGACTTGTAGGAGAGTGCAGAGAATGTTGTTTAATCAACACTCCAACTCTAGAGCCAAAGCAAATCATGGAGTAATGATAATTTCATGGAAAGAAAATGAATTGTTAGTGTACATCCATGAGAGGGAGCTGCAAAGTTTCCAAGCCACCTTTCATCTATTGCATTTAACAGCCCCTACAAACTGTAACAATGAAAGGATAGCATATCAGATATTTGGTATCAGGCTTTTTTCCTGATAGTTGTGACCATGGCTGCCTATTGCTCAGTGTCTAGAATAGCAGATAGTGGGAGAAATTTTCAATTAATAGGATGCTGAAGTTCACTGGGGTAGAGACATTGCTTTGAAACTAGAAGCTGGGAGTTGAATTAAAGCAAAAAATGCCCACTAATGGAGAAACAGACTGTCCACAAGTTCTACAGAACTACAGCATTACAAAAACACCCCCAAAACCTTAAAACCAGTATATGTGTGATGACACAAAACCAGAGCTGATTCTGTACCAGTGCCAACTCTTGCATGGAGAGGCCTTAAATTCTTCATATTTTTTGTGGCAGGACAAAAATGGAGCTGCGTGGTAACATCTTGCATTACTGCAGTTTTCCCCATATGGTGCTATAGTTTTTGCTGTAACTGTTGTCTGTGCGGTCTGGGTTTGATGGAAACCCAATACATTTGGAAGGTAGTTGATTGGGAAAAGCTGCACTACAAAACCCAAAAGTCTGCGTAGCCTTCCCATATCTAAATCAATATGTCTTCCCTGTTCAAGACAAATTGTGTTGCAGAATTGTGAGATTTTTGTCCTATTCTTTATATTCATATAAACAGTTTGTGAAGTGGCTTCAGCAGCGTAAACAGTCTTGGTAACCCCAGGATGATGATCCATATTGAACTGCTTAGTCTCCAAAATGGATGCTTCACTTTGCACAATATCTTGGATTACTACCTTACGTGTAACTGGAGGTGGTTGTTGTTTTTTAAATCACTCTTGGGTATACACAGATATAATGTGCACCTTTTTCCACCACAAAATTAAAGTTGATTAGCATAACAATTATATACAAAACAACTTGTCAAATTTTAGAGGTAATTTTTTAAAAGGAAAATTAAATATATGCTGACCTGTCCCTCAGAAAAGTTGTTATAATGAGTTTGACTTCACTTGCATATGTCCGTATGATATTGTTTCATCATGGGAACACAACTGGTAATTTGGATTAATAGTAAAGCCTGCTCTTTCTTTATTTGTCTGCTGCTCAGTGTCCCAGTTCAACACTGAATTTTTTATCTGTGGGATTGCACCTCTCTGTGACCAACTTGTCGTACTTTCATTTGCAAAGGAGATTTCAGAGAAAATGGTAAGTGATATGCTATATATGCAAATAAGTAAAGACTCTACTGAGTGGAACTCAACCTCTAGTGACTACATGGATTAGTTCATTGAGCTGTCTTGCCAGATACATGGATGCCATCTTCTAGGTTTTTTTTGTTTTGTTTTTTTAATTTGCCAGTCTAACTTAGGCTTTGGGATTTTGTGATGGTCTCCCATCTAAATTTTAATCAGGCCAGACCTGCTTACATTTGGGGGGCAGACGGTAGTGGTGGGATCAGCCAAGGTCAAATAGGTGCTGCCTTCTGCTGTGACATAAGTAAATAATCGATTTTTTTTTTTTAAACCCATAAATTCAGTTGTTGGGGAAAAGGCTCATTTACACAATATAGCTTTCACATATTGTTATATGAAGACAAGTACAGTAATTGAAATAACTTTGATCCAAAAGGACATGACATCATGTTGATCAATTATGAATTTTCACACCATAACAATTAGCTAAATGTAATTTATCTTTAAAAAGACATGTGGGTGACTGACATATGTGAAATATTTTCTGAATTATTCATAATTTTAAATATTTAAAAAGATGTCACATAGGTGCCAAAACAGTATTCTTTTTGTGTTTATGTTCTGGTATTCCAATTCTTTTTCCATGGCTCCATATACTCTTGAACTTCTAATTTAATGCATTACATCAGCAGTTATAAATAACTATTATAGGCATGTCATTAAAAACATATCACATCTTCTGTGCTTGCAGAGATTATAATGTACTTGTAGCTGCCAGTCCAGATGTCAATAGTACTTTAAATAAAAATCCTGCCATTCTGGTTTTTTTTTTTTAGTAAACAGTTTTAAAAATAACAATTTGATTACATTGATTGATCTAAGATATATACTCTACACTGGTTCTCAAACAGATGGATTTCCTTGCTGTATTCATATATGGATTCCAAAAATTTTAAATAGCAGGACCATCATCTATCTAACTGGATTTGGCAGGCTATAACTACCATATCTCCCTATTTTATAAGATAGGAATAGGGAATTCATACTTTCCAAGACTTTTGGATCCTTTATCTTCCAAGTTAAAAGGGGTGCTAGATATGCTGAGTCCAATAAAGCTTTTAGGCACTTAGATCAACAACAGAAGAGAAAAAGTACACCTTTTGGTATAAAAATAAATCTGGAAATTAAAACCTCCTTCTCTGACAAGTGAAGCTTGCTAGGGGAAAAGTGAGGTAGGGAATTTACCCCAAAGCTCTAAAACAATACATTAAATTCTGAAATTATGTATTTGGGAATATAAACATGAATATCATGGATGATATTTTTGTGCTAGAACATTATTTTTTAAAGTACTAATTTTACTCCAGTGCTCAAAAAAATGATGCTGATGTATCTAAGTTAGTTGCTATTTCTAATAAAATTTAATTTCAACTTAATATTAGGTAAGGCTAATTGAGTCTAAGGCTCAATTGGTGCAGAGTCCCATAGGTGCACAATGATGCAGATCGCTGAACAGGAATTAAAGCTGGTTTGAGGATGACTGTGCTGACTTTGCACTTTCTCCTAAATAAAGTCTGTAAAGATAATTGTTTTCAAATTATTGTAGGCACAGTGAGGGACGTGGAGAAAAGAACTATTTGATATTGTTGTCTCAGTTGAAAATGTCTAGGCAGATAGAGAAAATATTGAATCACTAGCATTTCTCAGGAGGGAATCTCCAAAGTCTTCATGACACAGTTGCTTTCAGTACAAAATGAAACAGAAGGAATAAAGAAGAGGGGAAACCCATGAAGTTTAGCATTACTCTTTTCATCTCTTTGATAGTGAACTGGCATTAGACAGTCATTGCTATAGTAACCTTGAACAACTGGGTGCACACTGTTGCTAGGCAATGAAACACCGTTGACTCAAGGTAACACTCATCTATTGAAATCAATAGGGTCTGCTTCTAGCCCTTGTGCAGGATGGCCAGATTATTATTTTTTATTATTTTAAAGAAAGGAACAAAGATGCTGCTGCAGTTTTTCCCAGGAGAATTAATCCTTTCTGTAACTGAGTCTCAGAAAAAATCAAGCTACTAAGTGAAGGAGAGGTTGAGTCCTATAAGTGAAAGTGGGGATGTAATTTTGTACACCTGATTTAGTGTTGTAAGAAGGTTGGCCCTCATTGTCACCTTTTTGACAAGATGATGTTGCCTATGTAGCATGGTTTATAAATTTTAGTAGCAACTAGTGAGTTTATAGCTGTATAATGCACCCATTTTTATACAATTAGACTACATTTCTCATCATGAAGGTTCCAAATCAATAAAGACTGGGGGTCTAAAGTGTATTTAATATTCATGTTGTGAAGCTCCATTGGAAATAAATTAGGTAAAACTAACAGCATTTGATACTGTTTATATATTCCCATGGATAGAATATCTTAAGAATACACTGGAGGGATTACCTTGATATTTTGCTGCAGTGAAAACCGCAGAATCTTGGAGCACTTAAAATTTAGCACTTGTAACACTTTATTATCACATAAGCTTTTATGAATCTAAATCCACCTCATCAGATTCAGGGAATATTGTTCTGGGAAAGGAGTATTATATATGAACAACCATTGTGCAGTGACAATGGTCATTGGGTAGGGTAGGAAATAATTAAAGATTAGACACTGTGAGAAAATTGAATGGATAGTTGCGATTAAGAAATTCTTATGGGTATGATAGGAACATTCTTGCCTTGCTCATGTGATTAACACTTTTAATAGAACAGGTGGTCTTTATTTTATCTTTGAAAAATAGTGTTAAACCCCCTAATGATACTTAGCTCAGCTATTTGAGAAAGACAATAGTCTTTGTACTTTATTTTTTCAAGGATGGCCATCTTGAGGGCAGTAATTACAAGAGCTGAAATGTTTGGCCAGTGGTTTTTGGATATTGCCATTTTTGAAATCACATTTTTGTTCACTTACTCTTTTGCCTAGGAACTGCCTAGTTTGTCTAGCGCTGACATTAAAGTCCAAGGGATAATTCCTTATGAAAATATACAATAAAGCAAACAATATTATGTTTCAGTCTAATGTGTGAATCCAGTGTTCAAAATAGCAACAAATGTTTCTTGTGTGTGTTTCTTCCATTAGCTGAAGGATGTTAGATTCTAATGGTTTGAGAGGAATTTTCAGCTAACCTATAAAAGTCTTTTTGTTTGACACTAAATGTCAGATTATAAAACTATTCAATTATCTACAATAAAAAAGTTGCCCAAACTCATTACTATAAAAATAATACTTGCTTATGGCTCTTTTAGTTGTAAAAATACTGGTTTCTGCCCAAAGACTATATCATTTACATGAGAGATAGACAATGTAAAGTTTCAGCTCCAATGCTTCTTGTCTAACTCCTTTCATAAATCCTGAGGATTTCCATTCTCTCTATTTATTGTGTTTTCTGCAGTCAGAAAAGAGCTTTTAAGATATTAATAGAAAACATCTGTTTTGTACCTTAAAGAAATCTGACAAGGACCACATTTGGTTGTATGGACTATATGGACTATTTAAGACAATTCTAGTTGGAGCTTATTAATAGATTTTAATATATATATACATATACATATACATATATATACACACACACACATACACATACATACATACACACAGACAGACAGACCGATCGATCGATCGATCGATCGATCAGTAATATAGGATGAGTGTTTTAATGTCAAGTATTATTTTCTTTTTCCAGGAAAGAGAATGTTGTGCCCGGCCAAGGCTTGATATAATTCAGCCATTTCCTGAATCTTGTGAAGAAATATCTTCTGATGCACTCACAGTAAGATGCTTCCAAGAAAATGAATGCCGAGATTATTGTTTAGGTGACCATTTCTTCTTAATCTACCTTTTTTTTTAAAAAAAAGTCAGTTTGCTAATTTTCACTAGCCTATATTCTAAGGTAATCATGGAATTGCCTTATGAATTGCAAAAAGATAAGAATGATATTGCTCCAATCTATAGTATCTTAAATCAAATGTTACAATATTTATCATATATTGTTTTCCTTCATAATTGCTGTGTGTCAGATACTGTATATGAGTTATGCACCTACCCAGAGCCTCTTTGAGAGCCATTGAATGCTAAGGAATTTTGGCAAAAACTGCTTCGAAGTGTACATGTGCAACATGGATTCCACCTTTCCCCTCAGTTCTCTTCTATTTATCACATTTGGCAGTGTTGGGAACATTCTTTTTTTTTCTGAGAGGATTTTGAGTTTTTTAGGCCGTTCATTGTGATACTCCCTGTGTCCTACTTTCCTTCTGGGATTGGGGAAAATTAACAAGCAAGGGCCTATTTCCTTAGCCTTCCTACCAGCCTTTGTGGCCTATGACTCCTATCATCCCATTCTTTAAATGCATTAGGTATGGAAGCAAGCTCCTACCTTGTGCAGATATTACCTTTACCTTGTAGGTTTATAGGGAGGTAACCTTCTTGACTTCTGCCTGCATTGCAAAGGAAGCTTGGAGAAATAGATCCTGTCTGCAGTTCTGTTGTGAGAAAGAACCCACAAGACAATAATAGTGCCTTCAGAATCCTATTTGATGTTCAGTATCATTTCACTTTACTCCATTCCAACACCTGTTCTAGCCCAAGTATCAGGTGACCTGGGAATCAGCTGCTATGTTGGCAATGTAATCTGTATCACTTACCAATGGCCACACTCCTATAATCTCATTAAGTAGGCAAAATGTCTAGTTAAGCAGCAAGAAAAAAAGCACTAAGTCATTTCTATGAAATCAGCATTTGCCCCACCTATAATCAGTGCAACAGTGTCCTATACTGTCTCTATTCTTGGATGCTCTGATAGCTATCATATGTGAATAGATACCAACAGCATGGATCCTGATCCTATTCTGCTAAAAACTTCATCGAAAAACTGAATTCACAGAAGACTAGAGGATCTTTTTCTATCTCTGTTTCATGTACTCTGGAACACCCTACAGCTACATCCAGTTTGGACTGACAAGACATTTCTAGAACTCTGAGGAATCATTGCTGAGATACATCCCTGGATTCTAGTGTCTTAGTATTCAGTTTCGATCTCCATTTCAAGACCATCACTTCCATGTGATAAGGCCATATCATTGCTCCTGGTTTTGCTTCTTGGGATAGGAGATATTTTTCCTTTTACAAAGATATAGTATGAATTACTGTGTTAGAACAGAGGAGACAGAGCTAAATGGTCTTTTTTTTGGGAGGAATTCCCAGGTTTTTCCATTTTGATGCTCATCTTGCTTTATCTTGTGTGGAGATGACAGTACACTGTGGGATAGATTAGATAGGTGCAAAACCTAAAATTTTTATGGAGAATTAACTTCTGGAAAATCTCCAGACCAACCCCAAAATGTCTGGATTGGCATATTCCCAGAAGAGGAACAGAATATTATATTCATTACAGGACAAAATGTTTTGTACTAGCTTAGTGTATCCCAGTGAATTTTTGGATATGCTAACAATAGGAAATTATCATGTGTCCTTCAGCAGTTCCTTGGGAGGAAATAAAGCTTTTGTTGCACAAGAGCATTATAGGCATGTCAAGTATATAGTATACAACTGGTCTGAGGTTACTTCTGTATTTTACAGTCCACAAAAAGAATGCACAGCTAATTTGAATAAGAGAATGTCAGAGTGAGTTTGTTAATCATATGTATGAAGCACAGAGTTGCTTTCCTATAACTGGTTATTTTAATGGTTTTCTGTGCATTTATGCCTGCCACCTATGTTGGTGCTGGTGCTTTTGGTTTTTGGGGGTTACAAGGCTGCCAAATGATCTTGAACTGATGGAAATTATATTGCACATGTATACTGCCAACTTCCTGCCAGAAATCTCATCGCTAAAAAGTTTCCAAGGAGCAAAATCTGCCCATATGCAGAATCCATATATGTGAATATAGAGATGACTACTTGAAGAATCACAGTTTACTGGTGAGCAGACTGTTCTTTCAGCTCAAGAATCTTAGAACTGATGTTATTGATGATTTGTCACAATTTAAAGAAAGGATTTTGTACTGAAATTGATCTCTTGGGTTTTTTTACACCTAATACTGGATCAGTTCAGTTGCTCCCAGGCTTTAACCATAATTTCTTAAGTGAGATGGGAAAATCTAGTATTTGCATGTGCCCTTTACTTAGGGGCTTTATTTTATGAATGAGGGAGGCTGCTGTAGAGACCTGCAGAATTAATGGTGCTGAGTTTAATACAAAGCATCCTGTATAGTTGTTTCCACATGTCAGTGTTCCATGACTGTATTGCAGAGCTAGAAGTGTTCCATGACTGTATTGCA